ACGCTATTTATATGATACAGGTCCAGTGCAAAAAGGTTCACCAGGTCTGTCTCATTTCATAAGTCCTTAAATCTCAGAAAGTGCAAGTGAGTCTGGCAACCTACTGATTTTTCTAACAATTCAAGGTTTCCTAATTGACCCATCACTCCCCTACAGTACAGTACAGGGCACCTCTTGGATCTCCTTCTTGGCTGTCCATGTTCTCTGGCCTCCTTGGGGCCCTGGTCAATGAAGGGGGATGGGATGGGGGGGTGGGGAGCGAGGCGGGGAGGAGCAGAAGCTGGGAGTGGGCAGAAGGCAGTAATTAGAAGACAGGTGGTTCATTCATTTTTTTCAACCCGTGGGGCATTTGACCTGCAAAGGGCAGAGTTAGGACCTGCCTGGAATGCAGATTGAGTCTCACTGGCCAGATCACACAGAGCACGTGGGAGGTGCCCTGTTCCTGCCTCCCAAAGGCACAGACCAGGCTGGCGCTGAATGAAAAGCCGCATCCACAGGGTATTAGCTGGCGGAAGTTCCCCTTCCGCACCAAGGAGACTTAGGGGTCCGGGCTCCTCTCCTGAGCCACGCGTGATTGGCTGGAAGTGGTCATGATTACATCAGCAGGCACTGGTTCATTCGCTACCCCGGGTGGCGCAATCCCAGGGCGGGGTGGTATAAAAGTAGAAGGAGGCTCGGATTAAATAGCAGAGCTCGGCTCCGCCCACCTCCTGGCGGGGATCTCGCGCCCCACGAAACACACTTTCATTTCTGGTGGCTCTGGCGGCTGTCACCCCGCGGCAACCTGGACAGCGAACGCTGCCCGACCGCAGCGGGCAGCGGGGACAGAGGACACCGGCCGCCTCGCGCTCCCGGGGAGGGTGCACCCAGGGCCCCAGGCCTCGGCTCCGGGGACCCTGGGCTGTCATCTCCCTCGTCTTGGGTGTCCTGCTGCTGGTGAGCTCCCACCGCGAGTCCTGGCTCCAAAAGGCTCTCTTGGTGGCCCGGAAAAGGCCCGGGGGCACCTGCCTGGGCAAATCCCGGCAGGACCCCCGGGCAAGTCCAAGTGCGCAGCGCGCTGGTGGGGGACGCTAGAGAAGTGCAATTCCTTGGCATCTACTTGCTGCCCAGAAGAGCTGGCTCCTTGGAGAGCCTGACCTCTGGATTGGCCCCAGGCCCAGCTGGCACCAGATCGTCATTTCTTTCCTTTCCCTTCCCTTTTCCCTCTGCCGACCCTCTTCACTCTTTTCTTTTTCTCTCTCTCTTTTTCTGTTTTGCACTGCATTTATCTTCTAAAACATGTCCTTTGTAAATCATTAACAGTGTAGGCCCCATCTTCCCCCCACCACTGCCTTAAGCACCCTTACATTTCCTTTTCTCTGAAAGGAGAACCACCTCAAAATTGCTTCCAGCTCCTTGCACTTTATGAATAGAAACCACCAATCAACTCAGCTTGGGCCAGATTCTCACCACTTTCTTTCAGAGGGGAGTTGGAGGCTCTGGGTGTGGTTCACCGCTGCTGCTAAGTCGCTTCAGTCGTGTCCAACTCTGTGCGACCCCATAGAGGGCAGCCCACCAGGCCCAGGCTTCCCCGTCCCTGAGTGTGCATTTGTAAGAAACTCACAATGGGGAGAAATACGCACACTTGGCACCACTTTTTTGCATTGTTTGAGGCTCTTTTCAAAGTTGCTTATATCTTCAAAGAAAAAAAAATTAAGGGTCTGACAAAGTTACAGGAATTGTGAAACTATGCATCTTTCATTGAATGAATTAGTACCACAAAATCTGGAAAGAAATAGCATTTTGTATTCACAAGAAGTATAGAGTTCCTTTTTAAAGTATCGGTCTGTTATAGGTAGGACTCATGTTGGACACTACTTGATGAATGGGTCTGGGTGCCTGTCGAGTATCCAGTGTAGCCATGTGCATTGTCTGTTGGGTAACTCAGAAGTGGAATTGCTGGGTCAGTGGGTTAGATAATTGTACACTTTTGTCTAGACAATGACAAACTGTTCTCCCAAAGAAGCCTGGGCCATTTTTAACTCACACCAGGAGGCCACGAGGGCGCCCCGTTTCCTGGCACCCTCGCCGCACTGAACTTCAGCGCTTTGGTCTCAGAAGTAAAGTTGGGGTGCCATGGGGCCACGCTTCCGATTCTTCATTCCAGTAGAGTGTTTCGAGGCTCCATGAGATTGCTGAGACTGGGAGTGGGTAGCCAGGAGACCCAGGTTAGGTCACAGGGCAGGGCACAAAAATACAGACAATAAAAGAACTAACACAAATCTTTATACAAATTCTTTCAGACAACAGGAGTTCATCACTAGTTCTTCTAAGGCCAACATAACCCTAATACCTAAACCTAACGGAAACATTTGAAAAGAAGACAAAAAATACTTTTAAATACCCTTCCTAAAAACAGAGGCAAAACTCCTTTACAAAGCAAACAGTAAACTAAATTCAGGAAGATTTAAAGAAGAAAACATACCATGACCAAATGGGGTTAATCTCAGGAATAAGTGTTGGATTAACATCTGAAAATCAGTGTTTTTCACTATATTAACAGTGTGGGGGCTTCCCTGGTGGTCTAGTGGTTAAGAAGCTCCTGGCGATGTGAGCGACACCAGTTCCCTCTCTGGTCTGGGAGGATCCCACATGCCGGGGAGCAACTGAGCCCATGTGCTACAACTACTGAGTCCACACTGCAACTCCCGAAGCCTGGGCACCTGGACTCTGTGCTCCACAGCAAGAGAAGCCACTGCAGTGAGAAGCCTACACATGAGAATCAAGAGTATCCTCCACTTGCCACAGCTAGAGAAAGCCTCACTTTCTATATGACTATACCCACTGTATAGTCATAAGGTATTTGATTTAGGTCATACCTGAATGGTCTAGTGGTTTTCCCTACTTTCTTCAGTTTAAGTCTGAATTTGCCAATAAGGAGTTCCTGATCTGAGCCACAGTCAGCTCCCGGTCTTGTTTTTGCTGACTGTACAGAGCTTCTCCATCTTTGGCTGCAAAGAATAGAATCAATCTGAGTTCGGTGTTGACCATCTGGTGATGTCCATGTGTAGAGTTTTCTCTTGTGTTGTTGGAAGAGGGTGTTTCCTGTGACCAGTGTGTTCTCTTGGCAGAACTCTATTAGCCTTTGCCCTGCTTCATTCCATACTCCAAGGCCAAATTTGCCTGTTACTCCAGGTGTTTCTTGACTTCCTACTTTTGCATTCCAGTCCCCTATAATGAAAAGGACATCTTTTTTGGGTGTTAGTTCTA